ACCTCAAATTCTCAGATCATTGCTATCGATAAAGATTCAAGTTTTAATCCACCTGTCTATAAAGAATCTCTACGATTTGAAAACAATAAACGCAATTTTTGTTTTATTTTTCAATCGCCTAACTAACTGATAATAATTTAAAGTTCAAATTTAGATTTAATGTAGTTTAGAATAATGTATCAAACTTGCGTAATTTGAAGTACTTTTAGTTTGTAATATATCCATTTGATAACCATGGATAACTGATGCATTATTTTAACTAGTAAAGGATTAAAAGGTATTTGTAGCGCTAAGCTTTACCTACTTCGGTACAAAAAAAATTTTTTAAGAGTATTCAGTATTTATTCTGCATGGCCTGTAGTGTAAGAAATCCTTTACTAGACTACAATAAATATATTCAAATGGCTCTGCTGAATATATCAGTTGCAAAATCAAAATATAAATTATTAAAAGGAAAAAACTTAATAAGAAGGGGCGTAACAGTTTGGATAGTCCGACTCTATTCTGCGTGACGATAACTTGTACGCTTTTGCATTCTGAAAATTATAGAGAATGCTGCTCTGTCTTTCTCTGCAATTGACAGCCTCGGGTATTTAAAATCTTTAGCAGAATAGGCGGAACTTTGTTTGAAACGGAAAAATATCATCAATGGATATTTCATTTCTCTGAGCTGGTTTTGATCATAACATATGTTTTGAGCTCCGCAGAATGTTCAACATTTCATTTGACAATAGCAGGATAATTGTTGTTTACTGAATTTGTTTTTAGATAAACCAATTTAGGGGTTACTACTTCCCCTTATTGATTTTCGCTTCCCATTTTTACAGTCTCTTGCCCATTGTATCTTTAGTTGTTTATTATTTAAATACTGTACTTGCGAGCGATTTGCAAGTTATAGCTCCTGCTTATATTTCAAAAAGTTTGCATTGCGATTCGAATCCGCCATCTGGATTGAATTTGTTTTATTTTATACTGCGATAGTTTTGTGCTGAATTGGTTTTATTCTTTAGCAGAAGTTTTTCTCGGCGATCAATTGCATTGCGAGCAAATTTATGCGCTCGAAAGTATCTAAAATCTATTATCAAAAGAGTGCATTCATTTCTAACTCTAATTTACTGTTTGAGTCGTTTATACTATTTATTATTAATTAAAATACGAAACGTGTCAAGTACCATTAAAGACTGATTTTATATGGTATGTTTATCAGCGTCAAAATATTTGCAGTCCAATTGACCGTCGTAAAAAGATATAAAGTTGAGTTTTTAATATAATTTCCATTATTTCTTATAATTCCTTACCAAGTATGAAGTTTTTCACCCCTTCTTAAAATTCCTCTTCTCTGCTGTCAATGAAATTTTGTAGTTCACTGCGAAGATCCTGTAACTTATTAAATATTTAGAGTATACATGTCAGAAATGAAAGTTGCATAATGATCAAAAGAGATTTAACTCGACTCTAGCAAATTAAACTGGAGCAAAATCTGGTAAATGTGCTACATGTGGTATGAGCTCTCATACAAACTCTTCCAATTTCCTATTCATTCAAAATTAAGAGAATATCACATTCGATCGATTATCTTCAGATCTGATGCCCGGATTATCATGATCTTTTGTATATAGATATGCTGTTATAAAACAGAAACAGCAATGGTATAATCGGACATAAGGTTCATTGACGCAGAGTAGTTTGAAACAGATGCTGCAAGATCAAAACAGTCTTATAACGCTACATTATACTGGAAGCGAGGCATTGTGAGTTTCTGTGGCAGTTGATCTCACTCCTGCAGCTACGTTCCTTTCAGGTCCTGGAGTGTTTCGGAGAGGGAAAAGGCTAGTTACACTTGCTCTCCCAAGAGCGGCGCGACATCTTTTTGTAGGATTTAGGTCTGGAGGCCTGGCCAACCCAACCGATTAATACAATCACTTTCCAAAAAAATCATCCACCATATGAGCCCTTTGGGGACGACTCTTGTTGTCCATAATAAGGAGCTGAGAGCTAGTTATAGCCATGCAAGTCGAACGTAGGGCTCTAAGATTTTGTCTGTTTGCCGAAAGCTAAGCTGTTTGCAACCCGCTCATTTCTGCGCTCAAAAGAGCCTGTTTAGCATGGTTCAAAGACATCAACTTCGTACCAAGCGTCTGTGAGAGATTATTTTCTTCACAGACAAATCCTGATTCAGTCTAACTGCTGAATCTCGACGTATAATCATATGAAGTGGACCAAACATCCACTACCTGTCCTCCAGCACTGAGAAAGAGACGAGTATAGAAATGAATGTTTGATGGTCTGAGAAAATATGTTGGACGAGTACAAAGGTCTTCATATCGTTCTCAGAGGCTCTTTAACTGCTATAAATTATTGAGAAGACATCTTAAAATCCTGCATTCGACAATTCAGTGGTGCGACTTGCTTTCTGTTCATTTTATGGACGACAGCGCTCATTCGCATAGGCCTAATACAGTAGGTGATCTTCATAGATCAACCAAATCTCCAGATCTAAACTCTGTAGAATATATCTAGGACACCCTTGAGAGGGCAACTGCAACTCGTCTCTTTTTTTCGAAAGCTTTCTAGAATCTGAAAATAGTTATATTGCAGTTTTTATTGTAGGAGTACAACTGATTGCTGCAGGGATTCATAAGCTTCATCATTCGTACTAGAAAGTCACACTATGAGAGCTGTCTGACTGTTTAAGATGCCCCTACCCCCTATAACTTTTCGCTTCCTTCGACCTTGAAACTGACTTCATGCTCCAATGAGCCTTACACGTGATCATAGATATACGCCCTGACACTGTATGGTACTTTTTTTGGATTATATCATCCTACGGCCATGTTAAATTTTATTAAAATTTCTCCATGAGCTCTGTAAATAATTGATCAAATGTGAAAATTCTCTTCATTTTAAACACCAGCGTAAGTTAACAGAACATATGTATGGTAACTTGCGTTATCGTGACGGAATACTATTGTATGACGAATGATGGGTTCCTTTCTTTTTCAAGACATTGCAAACACGATAAATTTGCTGGGAATGCACTTCCAAATTTAATATTAATTCTGGTGGTAACATTGCAGAGACATTATGTATTTTTGGAAGCAGGAGTGATGAAAAATAACAACGCCTTAGCCTGGAATCGAACCGCGAACCTCTGGAATACGCGCCTAGCGTGCAGAACACCACACCACGAAGGCATGCCAAGAAGGTGGGAGAAATACCTTATAACATATTTTAAATATCACTGCTCCGAAATTCTACCAAGCACTTAAATTCTAAACAGAACACATTGTGGATTAAATTTTAGTTTTGCGGTAGTTCCTGGAGATTTGTCTGTCTCACTTGCATCGTTTAACATTCTTATAATTTCATTTAGTGCACAACTGCCATAAATTTACCATAAATTCCAACCCGTGATTCCGTCCTTCTGTTGTTCGTTCTGATGTTGTTCTATGAACTTTAAACTTTTCTGCTAGTTATACCACAGTAATTTGTTCTCTTTTTTACTGGCTTTCAACAGATCTTGCTACTTTAGTTCTTTAGATTTACTGATCATGACTGGTCTTTAAGTTACTTACCTGTTACTTACGAAAGTGTAGACCGATCTTGTCATTCTGATTGAGCTTTAGTACTATGTATAGTAACTACATGCACTTAAATATACTGTAAAAATTTAATAATGAAAAGACAAAAAACATTTTTTGTTTGCCATCTTAGAAACAAAACTGAATACTGATATGATGAACTGAGAAAAGACTGAAAAATATAAGAATGTATGCCAGCATTTAGCACTGTATCGGCAATTCTAAACAAAGGCTTTAAAATGCTTTTTTAATGCTTTAAAAATTTTGTGATTTTTATTGTTGAACTGTACGTGATGTAAGTGCGAAGAAAACGATGTTTAGTAACAAAGCTAAAAAGACACCAATTTAAAATAGGGTAGCAAGAGTGAGTGCAAGAACATACTAGTAGAGTGCGAGCTCAGGAAGAACGTAAAAAACCATAAGAAACACTTTTTGGGCGCCCGTTAAAATATTAAACTTTTCAGATTTTTTAAATTTGGTTTATTTTTTTAATGCTTAAATGATCTATTATGACATTTCAAGTTTCAACAGTAACGAATTGCTTTAATATTTGAACACAAACTGCTGTTTAGAAGTAATTTTTGACTTATGCACGAAAGCATAATGGTAATAAGAATCTTGGGATACAAAGCATATACTATATATTAGACTAGATTAGTATTTTAATTATGGCAAGGCACACCATTGTTGAGGTCAGAGCATACAACTTTTGAGCAGTCAGTGGTGCATCTGTGAGTTTCCTCTGAATTAAATTGGCCCAAATTTCACTAAACGCGAGGAAGATCGCAAAAATCCTATTCAAACATTCTATTCGAATGCTGAGAGTACAGCAAAGGTTGAACTATCACCATTTCGCTACTTTAACCACTGTATTTTTATCAGGGACACAGGGAAATTTAAATGAATAATCCCATTATTTTTCAATATTTTCATCATGGCACCTTTATCCAAATCTAAGTAATACTGCTAAAAGTATTTTAATAATCCCTTTCATGTTAATGGCCATTATAAGATTATAGAAAATTTAAAAACATTTTCACCTCTAGTTTCTGTGGCTTCATTTATATTTAAATCTGTCCTATAAAATGGCTTGACAATATTCTTCTCATAAATTTGTGATAGGTTTTTACAGTTACTGATAGTCGGACAATCTATTATAGTAAAGGATAAGTTATATTTAATTCTATAAAAGTATGAAAGTTCTTAAAAGTTACATCAAATTAAATTTTTATAAAGTAAATCTTTGTGCATAAGGAACTGAAGAATTACACATTGGAATTTTAAAAAACAAAGTAATTCTTTTAGTTGAGAAATTTTGGTTATTACATAATATTAATAAAACATTGTTATAGTAAATTCAAATTTTGGAGATTTATTACAATATCAACGTTAAAGCAACTAAGAGAAATTTTCTTTTAGTGATCCACAATGAAGAAATCCAAATCTGACTCTGGTAGTAAAAGGAAGAGACGAAGTTCCTCAGTCGAAAGTAAATCGAAACGGTCTAGGGCTTGCTCGAAATCCGGTGAAAGAGAAAGGTCTCGTACTGAAAATAAAGCTCCCCGTAAAACTCGATGGCATAGAAGCCGAAGTCCTGCAAGAGAAGATGTTCCTAAACCGGTAAGTACATCTTCATATAAGAAATGTTGTTGTTGTGACTTATCTCTTTTGTCTAACTGTAACATCAGAACAAGCCCGCGCAAATTATCGTGGCAAGGATTACAAGATTGCGCCTATCGTTGACAACCTTGAGCTCCATACAGGGGACAGTACGACTCAATTCTGATGGAGAGAACCCTGGGGGGACGGGACCGAGGTCCTCCCACCCCTCTTACGTACCCACTCCCACCCCACCTCTCTCCAGCACTGACCTCTCGACAAGATTTTCGGCTCGCCGATATTTAGAACGTCCTCATGTTGCACACACAGTATACATTTACAAACATCCATACTTTCTCCGGGATTCGAAGCCAGGCTCTTCGGTACAACGGTCAGCATCGCTAACCACTATCCCGGTTGAGCGGCTCATAAGAAATACTTAATAACTCTTTCATGTGTGGCACATTGGGCTGAAACTATCTGGCCATCAGAAACTGGTGACTTGATTAAATAGAAATTAACGCATGCTATACATTTCATGTAAATACATATGTATGTATATATGTATATAATGAAATGTAAAGGTTCTGATTATATGATGAAACTTTCACAGATCATCTTTACTGAGGCCTGTTTCATTGAAAATAGCACAATAAAGCAACACACCCAGAGATTGTCGATCGAAGCGAGTGAAAAGTGCGTAAATTATGATCCTGAAATTAGATTAATTTAGAAAAGTTATGGTTTCTCTTCGTTACTGTTCGTTAATTATAAGTTCGATTTGCAAAGTTAACGTTATTGTTGGCTAAAAGACTTTAATTTCACTCTTACCATTAAGAAAGTAAGTACATTATGAGCATTATATAAGAATCATAAAACAGGGATTAATTTTGAAATAATGTGTTAGAGAGAGAAATTTATTAAGCATGTTTCTGTTTTTAGGATAGAAAGAGAAAGTGGCCAAATTCAAAAACAGAACTAGAGCTATTACACAAAATGAACGTAGAATTTTATTTTATGTATTCTTTTCTTTGTATTTATGTTTTCGGTGAAGTGAAGTAGAGCATAATAATGTAGTAGTGTGTAAAGACGGCTTGGTATTTCAGGCATGGTTTATTAAATGGTTCTTTATTCTCGTCAAGATAAAGTATACAGCTTAACTGGTGCAAAATGCTCACCCGTTCTTCTGAACTATGTTCACGCTTTTGTATAATGATATATTTGAACTAAGAAACAGAAACGGCGGACTGATTGTTGGTAGGGCTGAGAAGCTAAGAAGAATTAGTAGATTATAAGTTGTATATTATTGAAGCTATACTATATATCAATTGACTAATGAAAATTTTGGTTTGCAAAATTTAGCATCATTGTTAAGACCTTCGATTTTTGTTCTGCCTTTACGTAAGTACATGCATCATGCGCGTTATACAGAGGCTGTTCGCACATTTTTTAGACGATTTTGGTAAGCGGTAATAAAAAATGGTTTCCTGAAAAAGAAGTAATTGCAATTGTACTATGTTTTTAAATGTCAAAATTATCGTCTGTGGCTTGAAAGTTTTGTTTTTATTCAAAATGGCGAATTTAACAAAGCAATGGTTCGAAGGCTACATTTACGCTCTTTCCGAAGAGAAATATGCATACTCCGTTATCCAAAAACGATGTAAGAGTTATGGTTTTGTGATATCTAAAGCGTCGATAGGTAATATCATCAACAAGAAAGGAAAAAAACGTCAAATTGGAGCCTCAAGTGGGACAAAAATTCCAAACAATTATCCAAAGAAAAAACGGACATATTCGACTATTGCAAAGGTACGTTGTTTAATGTTTAAAGAAAATCCCCCTAGTCAAAGGACAGCTACAAAATCATTAAAATGCTCGGTGTCCACTGTAAACAAAATGATAAACGTTGATTTAAATCTTAAGAAAGCGAAAAACGCAATGTGCATCGTCTTCTTCCAAAGCATATCGCTCAACGCAGGACACGTTGCAGAATTCTATATGAGAAACATTATCCAAAGAAAAATGGAAAACAATTATCACAATAAATGAATCATGGGTGTATTTAAATGACTGTAACAAAAAAAGAGCCATTTATTATCATAAAAGGGGAGAAAAAAATTTAAGTACATGGTTCAAAGAATCGAAAGGAATTTTATCATGGCAAGTTAAAAATAAAGAGAGTGCAAAAAAATGTCAAGATTAACTCCAAATACTATAAGGAACATATTTTATCGCCAATTTTTCTGAATGAAATACCGTCGCTTTACCCACAGTGCCATCAATTTTTGTGAGACTCCATCAGGACAAAGCTAGCAGTCATACGTCAAAATCCACTGTAAATTTCCTAAAAGAAATGAAACAAAAAACTGGTATCAAGGCCATACCTCTCTCGATGTGCCACCTATGGATAATTGTGCTTTCGGACTTTTAAAAACAGCATTATCCAAACGTAGTCCCAAAACCCTAACAATACTCTGGAAAGCTGTTCGGGAGGAATGGGATAGAATATCTCTTCTGCCACTTCAAAAGACATTATTATCCTGGAAATTGCGGTGTCGAAAGATAGTTCAGAATAAGGGATGTCAAAGAGAACATTTAAAACACAAGAATTTTATGTAATTTAGTTTTGTGAATATAATATACTTCGTCTAAAAAATGTGTGAACATCCTCTGTATAAGAATTATATGACAAGGATTCATTTTGAAATGACGCAGTTTAGAGATATTTATAATTGTTACTAGTTATTAAATTTAAAAGGAGATGTAAAGGGCTATTGCAAATGATTACTAAAATTTTATTTCACTTTTTTACTTTATCTGTTCTTGGATATTAATGTAAGATAAAAATTTTTCTTTAAAATATCCTAACTCTTCTTTTCAATTTAATTATTTCTACTTTCTGTATTGAAAATAGTAATACAGACAAATATATAATAAATCTCTCTGGAGGACATCATTTCAGAATTACTCTCTGTCATATGATTTTATATGATGTTAATTACGGATGTTTTTGCATAACAACTAAACTGAGTCTGTAGTCTTTCACCCAATAATAATGAAAAGTATGCGAACCAAAATTTTGAACCAACCAGATAGGAACCTATAACACAAATTAGACTACTAAAGCTGGTTCAAGGTAATTAACGGCTGTATTTTAAACGTCATCTAGCAAGATGCTAACGCCAGAATAACTTCTGCAGAACTGACGATAGTACTTAACTGCAAGGCAAGGATGCCAGAAGCCGTAACACTAAAACATTCAGACCTTTATCTTAAGTACACAGCAACTAATTTGCATTCTGGTGAGGGCTATGGAAAGAAGAAATTAAAGTTCAACTCATAATAACTGGTTAATTAACATAAAATCATTTGACTAAACTGAGAAATTATTTTAATCCATAAATTTTTAGTACATAAAGATATTGATTTATGCAGCAAATGTTGACATTAAATGTTATATAAAAGCTTCGAAAAAGAGCTATTTCATTTCATATTGGCAACGCCTGGGGATCCATCAGTGTGAATGTCCATATTGTAATGAATTTATTATTATTATTGAGAGAGTAGATGTAGATGCGCGCTCTAGAATTCTATCAGTAGCTTTGAGGACGTATGATTCTATTAAAATGGCCCTATATCGAATCGAGAACTGACTCCATCTCTCCTGATGCAAAATGTTTTGAATAGTATTAAATGTGGCAGTATAAGCAACTAGGCTAGTTTATTGCCTTGAAAATGGGTTAAAAATTTTCGAAGTCTCATTGTAATGGAAATGTCTCATCTTTGTTGCTATCTGCTTTTTGTCTTAGTTTCAATATAAATATTTCTGTGATTTTATATGCCTACCAACAGACAAGCGGTAAAATCGCTGAACGCTGGTAGCACTGCCTGGTTTAAAATCCCGGCAAACAGCCTGGCTGCACAGAGGATTTCGTGATTTTTGCGATGTGTAACATGGATTCAAGATAGTTTCTTTTAGACAGTCTCCTCGAAGGGCAGGCAGACAGGCCTAATTTGCTTTAGCTTAAGCCAGTCCAATAACGTTACACTTTCATCAGAAACCAAATCTCTAAATTTCTTTGCAGTTATGGCATACCAGTGGTACAGTGGGATGCAACCTCTGACCATTGATAGTCTGATCCGTGTTCCAATCCGGCGAACAAGCTCATTTCTTATGCTTTTTAGAGTTTCTCTTGTGTTTAACATGAATACATGTAAATTTCATTTAACATGTAAGATGAGAATGTCCTCCTGAATGGTATCCTCTCGTTTGCCTTCATGTGCTTTGCCTTAATAGGTTTAATAATGAACCATTTATCTAAACTCTTAATCAGAAGACTTCTAGTGATATCATGAAAAGATCGACTTTTAAAATGTAATAACTTTATATTATAATTCTGTTTGATTTTTACACTCACACACGAGTGATTTTTATATACTTATTAAACATATTTCCTTTTCAAACTCTAATCACGAAATCATCATGATGTTTTTATTTATTGTAATTTCTTTGCAGTCATTGCTGCCGGAGGATGGAGAGAAGAAGAACATGCCCGGCCAAACATCTGTGACAAGAATAAAGGATATGCTCGAAGATAAGGAGAAAATAGTAGAGCATCTTTTCCACATAATATCCGGAACAGAACTTCAGGAATTAGTTCCAGAATATCTGAAAGTATGTTCGTGTGAATAATGTTTTAAGCAACAAAACTTAATTAGTATCATATTGCATATATAAGTACTGTGAAACTGAATTTAATTAATTAAATTCGGTTTCAGTTATTAAATTCAGTGATTCGGTTTTTAAATTCAGTTTCTGAAGGCCGTTAGTTGTCCGAAATGTTCATAAACCAAAAACACATTCCCCATAGAAATTAATGTGAAATGAACTAATCTATTTCTGGGTCTCAGGTGACCGCTTGTTAATTTACAACTACATTTCTTGGACAATTTCACAATACAAAACCAACAAGAACCGTAAATCTAAGGAAAAAAGATTTAAAAACTTCACATTACTTCCTTGTGAGGTATATTAAATTATACACATTTTTTGCTACACTTCGTTTAAAATTATTCCTATAACGATTCTAACTTAATTAACCGGCAAGTTGAAAATGACATCAAAAACTGCAAATTTTGAAACTAAATATACCGGTCAATTTTGTTGTACGAGAGTCAAACTTCTCATAATTTTATTTTATCATAAAGAGTATAAAACTTTCCCAAATGTGAGTATATGGAAGGAAAGACCTCATTAAATGTTATATTTCGTTACCTGTAGAAATTTTGTTTTTTAATTTGACATAAACAGCATATATATTTTCATTTAAAACACTTCTGCAATTGGAAATATATGACTACGACCAACGATTGCGAAAATAAAGAACAGGTAAGAGGATGGGTATATATATATATATATATATATATATATATATATATATATATATGTATATATATGTTTGGTACTGCTAATTACCATAAAATTCGGAGATGGACAACTAGATATTATGGCAGTCCCACATACAAAATTTCAATGTTCTAAGTCTAATCGTTTTTGCGTTATGAGAGATACATACAGGCGTCGCGAAAAAAGTCGATTTTTAATCCATTTTAAATCAATTTCAATCTTTTTTAAAAGAGCGAATCCTTTATTATGTCCGTACGCTTAGACATCAGGCAACAAATCATCCAAATGGATACAGGAACGGTCAAAAGGGATATTTCTGTCGAAATATGATACCCTAAATTTTTCCCTATTGCAATACCTCATTTTTTTCATACAAGAAAATAAAAAGGTAATCTCTTTGTAAAACAGATAAAACAGACGAAACTTTAAATTAATTTTATCGCATAAAAAAGAGAGTGGAGGACATGCGTGAAAGTTATAAGAAGAGAAATTTTGTGTTTGGATGGAAGATTTTGTTTGTAGAAACATCAGGTAATTATTTCTCTGGCGCATTTTCTACATTATTTTCTTTGTCCCTTCATACCTCGGTTGAGACATGCTGGGCCTCCGTTAACTCAAAATTTATCTTCATTTAAAAATATTTCTAAAACAAGCCATGGCACTGTAATTGAAAATGCTTTGTTGTAGCTTGTTACTGCTTTATCGGGATAACGCAAAACCGTATTTTACCTCATTTTTCACAGATTTCGATGATCCTAAGTATTAAGTTCACAATTATCTTTTTTCCTTTTCCTTTGAACGCATTTTCTCCTCATTGCTGTTTCTGAAAATGCTTCAGTTCTTTCTTGTTGAGGTTAATTTTATGGTCTTCTAGAACTTCTCCAAGTCTTCACTATTACTCCCGAGTTCATAATTGTAAATAGGCTGTTCGCAAATTTTTTATTTCTGTAAAAAAATTAACAAGAAGCATACATCAAGGTCATACCCTTCACTTAGATCCCTACTAAGTCTCCTAATGTATCATCCACGGATTTTTGCGCGTTTGGACTTTTAAAAAGTAGATTGTCCAGACGTCGACCTACAACCCTCCTTGTACATTGAAAAGCCGTTTAAGAGGAATGGGATAAAATACCTCTTCCGCTACTTAAAAAAGCTTTATTGTTTTGGAAATTAAGATGTAGAAAGTTAGTGAAGAATGAGGATTATCGAATGGAGGCTTTAAAACACAAAAATATTTCGTAAAATATTTCTGCAAATACAATGAAAATCTTCTAAAAATGTGCAAACGCCTTTAATAACTGGATACATAATATCAGAGCTAATTAAAAGATTCTTAAAATATCTGCGTGCAAAATCAGTTTGGCTATGGTTTTCTCCATGCCGAATTCATGGTCCTGTAAGTCATTTTATGCCAAAATTTATTAATGAAAGTTTGTAACGAAACTTTCAGTATGCGGTTTACTTGATTAAAGCTTGTTTCATCTTTAGTAACTTCTAAGTTGCGCAGAGTTAAAGTTCTTTAAGCGCAGAGTTGAAAATCTTTAGAGTGGCACAAAGTTACTCTCCGACTTCATTTTAGTAAATTTAAAATGTTTTAAATAAAGTGCCTGTACGATGTGCTCATCTCTACATATAATAAAACAAAGAGTCTGTCTCTGATGGTGTGTGTGTGTGTGTCTTTCGTTCGCGTTGCGCGTAAGCTAATAAACCCACGGTTACGAAATTTGGTACATAGGTGCATCTAGACAAGAGCCAGTGCCCTCGAAGCGATTTTTTCGAAATTCGAATTCGAATTTTATTTTATTTTATGTTTTGTGACGAAATCGCGTCATTTTGAGACATAATGGGCTATAGGAAAGCGAGATTTTACTCTACGCACTCCATTTTCACATCGTCATGAAACGTAGGCACTTAGCTATTTTATGAACTTAAAATAAATTTCTTGTTTCAATAAATCGATTAAATACGAATTTATTTAACGAAGTGAGCTTAACACCTTTTCAACGGGATTTTTTTTAAAAAAAGTTTATGTTTAAAAACGTACAATTTATTTTTCTTCGATTTTTGGACACGTTAAACTTTCATCCTTGCGACTGCCTTTTCAAAAAGAATTTTGGAAAAATGATAATATTTTGTATTTTTAAGAAATTTTTTAAAAGAAGCTTCCGAGTACATTTTCTCACATCTTACATCTTTAAAAATGTGATTTTGGCAACAATTTTTCTTTCTTATTGTTGTTGATAGATTTTTGATGAAATCGCGTCATTTTGAATAGTTTCATTCTTTTAGAAATATGGGTTTGGCAACAATTTTTCTTCGTATTTCTTATGTCACTGTTTTTAAGAGATTAGCATATTTCATTGTCATTTTTTAATATATATAATACATTTTTATTGATTTTTTTTTGATAAAGTTGTTCTGCAGAGTAAAATTCTGCGCGGAATTTTTTGTTTTTTGAGGTTCTTTCATGTTATTTTTTGCTTATTTCACTATTTGTTAGATATAGAAAAGTTTTGCATGATTTGTTTTCTTCAACGGAAAGTTAGTTAATTTTTTTATTAGGATAATTAATATTTGCATTAAGGGATATAGCTTATCCATTGTAATTTTTTTCTCTTGAAAATATAAGATAAAATATCATTAATTATACTTTAATTTTCAGAATTTTTTGTTTTTCGTATTCTTTTATGTTAGTTATTGCTCATTCCACTGTCTTTAAGATATTGAAAAGTTTTGAGTGATTTTTTTTAGGAAACAAAGTTCTTAACCTCCTTTATACCATTTGAGTTCTTACGATTTTGCAAAGGGAAGTTGGTTAATTTATTTATTAGGATAATTAATATTCGTATTAAGGGATATTGCTTATTTCATTGTAATTTTCTTATACGTAATAACTTTTATGAAGTTGTTCAGCAGAGTAAAATTCTAAGCAGTTTTTAAATTTAACGTTTGGTGTTCCCTTCAACCATTTTTTTCGGTACATTTAAGAGCCCGACGATGGCTGGCAGCTAGTTTCTATATAAATTTCTGATTTTAAGGAATTATTTAACATTCATTCATCGAATATTAAAAAAATTCTATTTTTTTACAACGTGAATCCATTTTATAAAGTAAATCAGATCAGGAACAATTTTTCAAAAGTACAGCAGAGTGCCAATCATTTGGCTTAAATGGAATAACAACTAGTCGGAGTAATCACGAAATCTGAATAATTGGATTTCCCTTTTTTTACCTCTCACCAACCTGTATACATAGGTAAGGAAGGTGCTGCTTTCTGTCTGAAAATTCGGAAGCACGAATTAGAGTTTCTACAACGTGTTCTTACTATTTTTACAATAACTTCTGTCCAAGTGTCTGTATGCGTGTGCACAATAGAGCTTACATAAAATTTCCGAAAATTTTTATTTTCGTATTTAAGTGTCTGCATTCATATAAATAGTTGATTAGAGTATGGGTAAAACCGGACAATCGAAACTGATACTTTACTTGAAGCCCATAGCAATTTTTAGTGAACAACCGGAAATAGTACTTTATTTGAAGACGATAGCAGTTTCAATGAAAACCTATATTAAAATATAACAACCACTTTTCAATTTTGGTATTTCAAAAAGCTATATAAGCTCTATGCATTCATTTTAAGAGGTGATTAGATTTGAGGTAGAAGTGGACTACCGGACAACTTTACATGAAACCCTTAATTAGGAAGTGGTACTTTACTTGAAGCCAATAACAGTTTTTAATGAAACACTATATTAAATATAATTTCAGTTTTATAGTTTTAGTATTTAAGACTTTTATATGAACAAGATTAACATATTAGATTGTGTTTAACATTGACAAGCCGGAAATGATACTTTCCTTGAAGCTCTGAAAAGATTTTATGGAAAACGTATATTATGAGTTAGTTCAAATCTGGTATTTCCAACACGTATGTGATTGATAACAGCTTATTCTATCTATAAGCAATGAATGTATTTTTGGAATTATGATAAACACGACAAGAATAAGCTCATTATTAAGACGAGCTCTCGTTTTGAAGCAAATTAATTAAAATTAATTGATTAAAATTATTTCGTTATGAAACACATGCATTAGCCTCAATCCGAAATTTCGCATCCGTTTCACTTTTATTTCAATCACATTTCAAATAAAATGAATATAAAAATACTGTATGGCAAAACTTAATATTTGAAAATTCTAAAGATAAGCTGATTTTAAAGAAAACGACAAACAGAAATATTGTTTTCCTTATTAAGGAAACTGAACAT